ATATTCAAATCTAATTTTCTATTGGGTGGGACTAAATTTCATTGGGTGGGAATGTAGGGGAGAGTTTTGCCGGGAAAAATTCCCGCCGACGTTGGAGTCAAAATCCTTTTTTACACTTTCAAAAATATTAATCGACACGTAACTTTTTTTGTGTAACCCCAATGCTTAACAATTCACAATCGTTTTATCGTGTGCACTTTAATATCTTACATTGAAACGTGTTATCAAACGCTATATAATACGTGCTCAATCATTCATACATGGAATCTACCTACATTCGAGGAACACAGGAAAAGTTTATGCAATTTAACACAAGGATAATCATCAACGGTAGTATAATAATTCGTAACTGATATGAAATTGTTTGTTTTTACGATAAGTTTTGTCGTCACAATTAAAAAAACTTTACTTTATTTAATATTTTGTTTAAATGATAATCCCAACAATTCGTTTTTTTTTTAGGTTTATTTGAACGGAAGTAGAAAGCTTTACGGTGAAGGAATTTTAACGTTCATCATTAATATCAGATTTTGCGACTCTAACGAAATCATTATGAATGAAGATTGGTGAGTTCCTTATTCTCCCCCACCCCGTGGTTACTTCTTATAGACAATAAATATACTAGAGTTAATATCTTGCTTCGTCGTTGTCGTCGTCGTTGAACGAAGAAAGAAAATCGTTAGTTCAGGGTATACTTTAGATAAGGAAAAAAAGAAAAGGGGGCAAAAGGAAAAGTCATTAAAAGAAGCGGTAGAAAGAAAAAGTCTCCCCCTCTTCTTCTTTTTCTTTAATCACGTATCCCGTTCGAAACGGGAATGCTTACTATTTTCGTATTGAAAGAAAAAAAAAAAACAAGAAGTAAACTATGTAAAGAGAAGGAAAAGAAGATACGAATAATATAAATATAGAAAATAAAAATTAATCTAATTAAATATACGCGTATATCGAACAATTATCCAAATAAAATCCAAATGATGTTTGATATTTAAACATTTTTACGGTTTTTTTTGTCATATGAATTTGTGCATTAAAACGCACCCATCGAACATCGAGTTTCGCGATACTTTTAAGGGTAGCCCTTAGAATCAATAGAATATAGGAAGTATGTTTTAATGACGATTAATGGTTTAATTTGTACTCACGATATTTTCTCGCACAGTATTGTGAAAGAGTTGCTCCCTGAGGTCAGCCTCATCTTCCATCTTCACCTGTTTGTCAAAAGATTTTTCGTAACCAATTGTATGTTGGTAGATTGGTTCGACATTTTTCTATTATACCCTTTTATTACATCGACATACTTTTATCGTAGCATATCATAACCAGAGAGAGAACTACGGTCTCATCATTATTTTCCCGTATCACTATTTCTCTTCTTCTTTGTTTGATTTAGTTTTTATGTAATATTCGCTTCTCTCTTCTCCTTGTATCTTAACATCCGTACTTTTTCACGCACTTTGTCCCGATTTTCACGTAGCTTGTCCGTAACTTTACACGCTCATTACGTACATAATCAAATAATCTAACCTAGCTCGTTGCCAGTCAGACACTGACAACGTCTAACGTCTTCTTCTGTCGTTTCGTTTCTTTTACATGCGTGCCATCTACATAGCTAACTGCATTACCAACAGACACTAGAAGCGCGCTTTTTGAATTGATAAATTTCTTTTGTTTTTATATATTAAAATTGTAAGAATGATCTTTATCATAAAAATCCTAATTAAAATAATTTTTTTATACATTAAATAATTGGTTGTTATTTTATGTACATAATTAATTTAGTAGTACATTATACTAGCATTAATATTTTTCAAATTATACAGAAATATAATAGACCATACATTTAAAGACTTAATCGACATTAAGCTATAGCTGATCGAACAAAACTGTTGTCATTTTTACAATCAACACCACAAACATAGTAAAAAAAGAAACTTTTTTAGGTATCAATATCTCTATTGGACAATGATTTATATAATAAAATGATCTTAACGTATTTTATTGCAATATGTATACAAATTTCCAATCGGCCGCTTAAATAGTATTCATAAAAAATTAACTTTACCAAACAAAAATTCCAATTTCTGTTACAGCGGCTTATTAACAATAATTTCTTTACCATCGCTCTCAATTTAAGAGTTTATTAATGCGATTGCATTCATTAAAAATTTGTCAATGTAAATTTTTAATGGTATGATCGACAAATGTGCAAATTTTTTTGATGTTATGATAATAATATTATAACAACTTCTAATTTAAAAGTACAGACACAATAGGATATAACTATAGAGTTTAATTATATTATCTTACAGAATTTTTTAAGACAAATGTAAATTTTAAATATTACCGTTTATAGCTCATACAAATATTTACTTAATACACAAATACTGCTAAGAATTAACAATATATGTAATGAATCACAGAAATATTCATACTCCCACTATCAATTTAAAATAATCTCTCAATATTTTTTTAATATAAATATGTATACATTTATAATATATATATATATAAATTTGAAAATATTAGAATATTTAAAAATTTGTTTACATAGAAACATATTTCAAGATTATTAAACATTTAAATCGATATACATTTGATTGCAAAAAAAACATTTCATTATAAGTACCATTTAATATACCTAATAAACAACTAATCTCACAATATATGCCTAATCAACTCAAAAGCATTATAAAATGCAAAAAAGGGCCAACCAAATACTATTAATACAACTAATACTTATAAAAATAATGGTTGTATTTTTATTATATCTTACGTAGGTACAAATAATCTTGCGAGACAATTTTAGTATTTTTTCTTTAACAATCAAATGTTATTCTGTAATAAAATGTATATCAATTAGAAAGTATAATAATTTTAAAATAGAATTTATAGAATAGAAAATATGCATTACAAGCAAATATCAACTGTTTAAAATTCAATAGAAGTGGGTACGCGCAAATACTCCTGTGACTCACTAAGTATATATATTTTAATTATTATAGTTTATGTTTTTGTTTTATAAATTTCGAGGTATAATTAATCATTTTGCAGGAAGTAATCAATGATAATTACATTTTATATCCATTAAATTGTTAATTGAATATTTACAAAGAGATATAAATAGTTTCCAAGGCAACTAGGACTTATACTCGTGATTATTACGTCTTTTTCGACGCATAGTGTGTATATTTCATTTGGTATCAATACGCCTTATGCATAAAAATATTTAAGTTTCGCATTTTTTGTTCATTAATAAGAAAGTGAACAGTTAAAATCAACATAAAAAAAAACAATATCTTTTAGGATTAAATCTCAAATGAAATAATATACAGTTTTGTACAATATCATTACTGTCTAGTAATAAGACTTGTTATATGTGCCAGTAATTAAGACAGCGGATTAAGTTAAAAATGGAAAAAGACATTCTTTATGATTTATTTCGAGAACGAGTTTGTGTATATAATATTAAATAAATCATAAAATCTATATTTTTCATTTTTAACTTAATCCATTATTATAGTTATCTACAGATATGTAACAAACTTTTCTTAATTATAATCAATCTTTTAGATATAATGAAACCAGATAAATAACGACGCAAGTTAATTGGAAATTAATGCTATTGTTAATCACGATAGTAACAAAATTAGTACACAGTCAAATGATTAATTTATTATGTTTGTACAATAGCATTTCTTTACGTTGTGTAATCGGCTATAGAGGTAGGCGAGTGGTTATCAAAGAATAACTCAAACCGTCGGCGTGTTAATGTGAGAATGCGGAAGTTGGATGGAATGATGAGAACCAGATAGAGAAAGTAAATGTCCTCGCTCCATCTCGTTCACTTCCTGTTGCTTTGTTCCTCCTATAGAAGCAGTCGAACGTGCCAAGCTATTACGTTGCCTGCACATATATGGTGTTTCCCCGGGCGAAGGAGATTCACGACCCTATAAAAATTAAATCATACTGCACACCAAAACGACAAGACTATATTAACTTGTATATCTATATCGGTAAGAATTAATTTTAAATCAATGAAGAAGAAGAAGTATTTCTTTTACGATCATATTATTGAAACAAAATTTGAATACTCATATCTCTTATTATTAAGACACATAAAAATAATTCTTTTATATTAGTGTCTTTAAATAATTTTTCAATACTCTCTATAAAAACATCAGTTTACCTATGATCGTATCAGAATCAGATTTAATCGCTTCTAAGCAACGCCCAAGGCATTTAGACTTTGAATAAGGACTGTGGGGAGAGGTGCTTCTCTTCAGGTAATACTGTAGGATTTCATAATGTAGAATTCAAGGAATTCAAATAATGAAGAACTTCGAAAATTATGAAACACTTACCTGTTTCGAGGGACCACAACAAGTAGCATGATTACAAGGTTTATCAGTCTTTGGACAATCGAGTACGCAATCTTCTGTTGGCGTATCTTTAATTTCACTATTTGATTGATACTAAAAAAATAACGCAATTAATATTTCAACACTCTAAACATCTTTAAAATCTCATCTATTAAAATGCGAAGTAATAAAATCTATCATATGTAACATCTATAAATATACAACAAATAAACATACATCAATAAATTCTGGTTGTATTGTAGTAGAATGTATACCCTCATTGTGGAAAAATTCTTTAACTTGTTCAGCAATTTTCATATATTCTGAAAGATTTCTACATCTTATGTGCGCGGAAGCTATAATACGATCACCAGCTAATTGCCATACATGAAATTCATGGACGGCTAATACTCCATCAACGTTTTCTAGTAAGCGTTGTTGTATTGCGTCGACCTAATAAAAATAGATTTTTTAAATATACAAACAAACATATATGAAAAAGTAAAGTAAAACAATTAAATTAAATTTATAATATAATAAGAGCGTCATCCAAATTATTATATAGTTTAATATTTTTTTATTATACCTGAATATGTGTCGGTACAGTTTGTAAAAGAATTAGTGCCGACTCTCTAAACAATGGCCAAACAGAACGCAACATGAGAATAACCAATAGCAGTGATAATGCTGGATCGATGTAAAATCTGTAACAAAAAATGAAGTGTAAATAATATTTCTTTCTTATTAAAAAATAAATATATATCATTTTTAGATAAAAAGTTAAATTAATCTTCATAGCTATCATGGAAAGATATAAGCAAAATGGAAAAAGCAACAATCATAGCAAATAATGTGTTATAAAAAATATTACCTGTACTGCCATTTTGTAAGCCACACTATCAAAGCGGAGGCAATTACATTTACAGAACCCACTGCATCGGACAGTACATGAAGGAATACACCGCGCATGTTCATTTGACTGGCATCATGCGTATGACCATGTGCTCTTTTTGCTTGTGCTGTTGGTGGTCTGTAAGTGTTGTCATTTTCATTGTCATCCGTGCCTACTAATGTGCTTAGTCTGTTATGACTGCGTGATATGCCATGTGAATGATCATGAGAACCTCCGTGTTCTGTAATAATAAAATGTCGAATGAGTACGTATGTATATTTTTCTACAAAAAAAGAGACAATTAATTAAAAGTAAATTAATTGCTTCCAAATAGAGAATTTTTCTATTTCTGATATTCTACCAATCATTTTTTATAAACGATATTATGACCGATAAAAATAATACGAATAATAAGTAATTTAACAAATCTAAAGAGCCAGTATACAAATAAAGTGTAATTAATTTATGATACTATTATGAAGCCCTTATGATTATCGAATCTAAACTTTCAATCTAAATAAAAAAATATTAATAATATCCTTCTTTCTTTTATATTTCATTAGCCTGGATATATATTTTACTATTTACAATCTACGATTCAAAATACTATAAATTATCTCTGATCTAAATTAGATATAGTAGGAACATAATGAATGATAATTGAGGCGTATAATGTTTATGATTACTTCCACCTGAATAATTAGCAGCCTAATTCTCTTCAAAGAACTATAAATGATTTTTTTACCCTGATACAGCTATACAAATGATATGTGAATACAAAATGTATATAATATCTTTGTATATAATATTAATATTTAAACATTATTGAAATTTGTAATGAACATAAAAAACAAGATAATTACCACGAAATAAGCATAAACCTATTAAGTTGACAAATAGACCAAGCGCCCCCACAGACACTAGAAGTTTAGCTTCGTGTATTTCTTCCACTTCGATAAACCTCTTACATGCCTCCACGGTAATGCTAAAGCATAAGGCAACTAAAAAAACCGCATTAACAAGTGCACCTAAGACTTCAGCTCTAGCCCATCCAAAAGTGTTCTTGGACCATTTTTTTGGTGACATCTGAAAATAAAGAGGAAATATTAATTTATAAAAGAAATAATAAGTGAACTTCTTGTATTCAACATGTTAAATACATGACGCACTTTATGATCCGGATGTGAGAAACGTGAGCAAATCTTATAGACTAAGCGCGTTAAATCATAATGCAAGGAATTAATAACATAAACTTACTGAAATGTTAATAATATAAGAAATAAATAGAATATATTTCTCTAATGCATACTTATCTATATACCTCTATGCTTACTACTTCTAATGCTTACCTTAACAGAAAGAAATGCCACAACTAATGCGGCTACATCTGATAACATATGAAAACTATCAGCTATTAAAGCCATCGAATTGGTCACATAACCAACAACTATCTCCACCAAAAATAAAAGCGCTGTGAGTCCTAACATCGTTAAAAGGCGACATTTCTTTCCCGTGTAACGTCCCATAATTTTAGTGAAAATCTGAAAAATTTTGAAATATTAAAATACGTATAGTCATTATCAATCAAGTACCATTTATTTAAATTGTTGAAATAATCATTCATTTTTTTGCTTACTTACTTTTTATTATAAACTTATAATTTCTTTAGATTTTTAAAAGAAGCATTACAAAACTTTTTCTTTGCTAGCAACAATACTGCAGCACAGGCACAATAGGAACAAGGATTTCTTTAGTACTGAAATAAGGGAAAATATATGAGGAAATCAAACAAATATTTTATATATGTACACATATATATGTATATACGTGTAAATAAATTATTCATACGTAGGAAAAACCCACAAAGTAATGTAACACTTATATTCTATATAATACAATGAAATTATGTTGAACTAAAATTTAATATTGTTATAGAAAACAATATCTATATATATATATATATATAAAAGCATAAAAAATGTAAGCTGCTAGTATTATATAATGCACATATTAACATCACTGATTTATGCAAATTTAACATTGAAATAACAATTATCTGTATTGTTGTACCAACATTATTTTGTATTTCGTTAGTGTTTATTTAGTTTGACATCGTCTCAAGAATACACACAAATACCCTTTAAACAAATATTTATTGATGAATCATACTATTGAAAGAAAGTCATATGAATCAACCTATAGAGAATGGACTCACAATGACAAATGATTCTAAAGAAAGAGATGGAATAAAAGATCTATTCTTATCTAATTTTATATTTTTAATTTAATTTATGTATAATTTCCTCACCAATTTGAGTTTAGACTTGCTACTTTACAAAGGAAAGAGAATTTTACTGACACTAAAAAAAAAATTTTTTATTTAAATAAATAACTATCATAAGAGTAGAGTAAAGATTGAATGTGCTTATAAAAGAGTGAACTTGATTTGCAAAATGTTGAACTTGATTTGTAAACGGTTGTAGAATTATTTGCAGAAGGATAAATATGATTTACAAAAAGTTGAATTTAGAGTGCAAAATCTATAATAAATTTTCGAATATTTCCACAAGAACTTCATTTGAATATGTCTTTAAGTATGAATAAGTATAATATCTCAAAAAGAAGACCAAATATACTTACTGAGAATAATAATCGTTAAACCTTTATCCTTTTTATAAAGTTAGTATCAAATGACTACAATTAAAAATTTAAAGTATGAACTGATGATAAACATGTTACGTGAAAATAGTAACAAGTTTTTAATACTTAAAACATAACACCTTTTTCCTCTTAATTTTATTTATAAATTAGATTAAAAAAATAAAAAAAAATACGTTTTTTTAATCAGTCAAACGATCTCTTAATAAATCACAATTAATTAATATGTCAAAAATATAAACATTACATTGGTTACAATTGATTATAAGAAATAGATAAACTCATGGCGTAAAGGTAAATGCTCATTTACAAATGCAATCGATGTCACCAATGCAACCACGAGAGAACTGTTCAGCATCCATGCTCTCTCTAGTCTTCTTCTTGTTTAGTAAATCATTTATTCGTCTTTAAAATTGTTTCTTTAATGCAAAATACATAATCATCTAAAAATATAATAAAAGCGAAGTAACATTTTAAAAAATGTTATATAAAATTTAACAATTAATTTTCATAAATAATGCATAATTAATATAAATTCAATGTATACATGATCTAACTTTCTTATATAGTGTTTTACATTTTAATTGGCTAATAAAAAGAACTAAACTCTTTTTTTCATTGGCTACTTATTCACATGTTCAGAATGTTGTCAGGATACGACCAATTACAATGTAATAATATAATTGACGATAGATCACACACAAATGTGAAATGTAAATTTAATTTCGTCTAATTTCGAAAAATTAAACAAGACTAAGCACTAACATTATTTTAATAGTTGGTAACAGTGATAGATTGGCTACCCTGCTATATTTACTTTTTTGAATACTTCGCGGGAAATATTATCGTACTTAAACTTATACAAGGCGAGAAAAGTTAAAGAAGGCTACTTAAATATTTTCTTTGTTTTAATGATATGAAAACTGTCTAAGACATACTTTAATTAGTTTTAGAAGAGATATATAATAGGAAAAACATTTTTCATATCAATAAAAACAAAGAAAATATTTAAGTGGTTTCCTTCAACTAGAACACTATATATTTTCATATATTATTATATTACATCTATTTAAAGATAAATATATATATATATATATATATATAAAACAGCTTGTGTTTTTATTTAATTATTGAATTAAAGAATTTATCTATATACAATGTCTATATAAACAATCATTATAAGCCCATATATTGTGGAGAAGAAGATAATGCATTTTTTGCTATATTATTTTTTATTTTATTATCTGCATTGGGTCTGTCGCTAAAAATGAAAATTATACGAAATAAGTAAATATATATATAATAAAGAAACAATTATATATATTAAAATGATAATTTTTGCAAAATAATGTAATAGCAAGATATAATTAAACAAAATTTTTTGTATTTTATTGGTGAAAACACATGACTTACCCAAAAAATGGTAATAACGATATAAGAGTTTGCCTGCTCGGATTAGAGGAAAACGTAGAACATCTAGCCAATCGTCCAACAACACGTCTCAACCATTCTTGTAATTTTTGTCTTCTTTCTTCAACAAATTTAGCATCCTAACAAAAATATCTTTATTATAATACGTTTACACATATTATGTTTATTTCCTACTTTTAATAAATATATTACTTTATTTCCTATTGTTTTTTTTGGAGGGAATTCATAAGTAGTCACAATCGCATCGTGCTTTATCAATTCTTTGTGTAATTCATAAAACTGCGCATATCGTCTGTAAATATTCCATTCGGTTTCCCGTATTCGTATATATATCTAAAATTTATACAATGAAAAAATTAACAAAAGAAATATGATAATAAATTTCTTTTTCTTTTTTACCTAATATAAAATTTTTTTTTTTCATAATAATTACTTGATATACATGATGAATATCAGAAGGCTGCCCTGTCAGAAAAACAGACGGTATCCATATATGAATAAAACATGGAGTTTCCAACGGTAATTCATCCTCGTTGAAAGGACCTCGAAGACATTCCAATTCCGTTTGCAGAATTTTGATCAATTTGTCCCTTTACAATTAAATTATTAATTATTATAAACACTATTAAAAGTATTTTATATAAAAACTACTGATAAATGAATAAATGATTTTAATTATCTTGCCTATTATCTTTACTCATACCTGTTAGCTAATTGTAAAATTAATCTCGAATTGAATTCCATTAATTCTGCGTGCATATCTGCGACTTGAATTAACTTTGCTTCGTACTGTTCCGCTTCATTGTTACGAGTCGGAGAAACATCTCTTTCTATCACATAAGTGGAATCTGATTCCTTTCTTAACATTTGTACTGCTGTTACATATTTACGTAATTGTTGTCTCAAGAGTTCATTCTCCCTATTTTAAAATTAACGCGGTAAGATAAATAAAAAATACAAAAGTAAAGATAAATATAAAAAGATAAAATGCATAAACAAATTACCCGTTCAGCGTCTGCAACTGCAATTGATGTTTTTCGACAAGATTTTGATGCTGTCTTTGAAAACGATTTAACACCAATCTGCTGGTCATAGCTTCTTCTCTAGCTTGTTCTAAAAGTTCGTCCATTGTCAAAATTTTCGACCGTAATGCTTCAGGATCTAAATTTTCTGTGTTTGTATGGTTATCTAAATTTTCAAGATGCTCTGTCGCTTCTACTGCGGGTTCAGTTATATCTGTTGTTTCCTAAACATAATTATTATTATTATTATTATTTTCTATTAGGAACTCGAAAGTTCATTGCCGCAAATACTAAATCCTGCCAATTTTCCCACCGTCCCTGAGCGCGATCCCTCCATTCGCGGTCTTCGTAGCCTATTTTTTTAAGATCCCTTCTAATATTGTCCTTCCATCTATGTCTCGGTCTACCCAGTAGTCTTTCCTCATTCGGTATACCGACCAGTATTTTATTCTCCGTTCGATCCTCCTCCATGAGCGTCACGTAACCAGCCCATCTAAATCGTCATGATTTTACGACGTTAATAATGTCCGGCTTGTTGTACAATTGATGTACTTCTACGTTATGGAGTTTTCTTCATTCGCCCGTTTTCACATCGCGTTTTGCACTGAAGATTTACCGAAGAACTTTGTTTTCGAAAAGCCTAAATTTCTTTTCATCCCGTAACGTAATCGACCACGTTTCGCTACCATAAAGGACTACCGGCAGGATGATTGTCCTGTATATCCTAATTTTTAAGAGCCTATTATTGATCGAATAAGAGCATGCATTGCCTAAATTAATTCTTTTCTTTAGTTCTTCGTTAATTTCGTTCGTCTGGTTTATGATCGATCCTAAATACCTAAAATTGCTGACCCGTTCAAAAATTTTATCTCGGATGACCAAAATTCCAGTATTAGGCACATTCTGAAATCTCTCGGTGACCATATATTTATATATTCTTTTTTATCAACTATTATAAATGTACTTTCATATTTTATTTAGTATGTATATTATTTTTATAATTATGTTTAAGATGGTCACTGATAGAATTCAGAATGTGCATAATATTAAAACTTTGGTCGTCCGGGATAAAATTTTTGAACGGGTCAGCAATTTTAGGTATTTAGGATCGATCATAAACCAGACGAACGAAATTAACGAAGAACTAAAGAAAAGAATTAATTTAGGCAATGCATGCTCTTATTCGATCAATAATAGGCGCTTAAAAATTAGGATATACAGGACAATCATCCTGCCGGTAGTCCTTTATGGTAGCGAAACGTGGTCGATTACGTTACGGGATGAAAAGAAATTTAGGCTTTTCGAAAACAAAGTTCTTCGGTAAATCTTCAGTGCAAAACGCGATGTGAAAACGGGCGAATGAAGAAAACTCCATAACGTAGAAGTACATCAATTGTACAACAAGCCGGACATTATTAACGTCGTAAAATCATGACGATTTAGATGGGCTGGTTACGTGACGCTCATGGAGGAGGATCGAACGGAGAATAAAATACTGGTCGGTATACCGAATGGGGAAAGACTACTAGGTAGACCGAGACTTAGATGGGAGGACAATATTAGAAGGGATCTTAAAGAAATAGGCTACGAAGACCGCAAATGGAGAGGTCGCGCTCCGAGATTTGGTATTTGCGGCAATGAACTTTCGAGTTTCGAATGCCAATTAATAATAATAATTATAATAATTGTAAATACAAATCTACTAAAATAAACTGATATATTATTACTTACATTTATATAATTTGGCAAACTAACTAATATATCATCGAATGTCTGATCTAAAGGTGATGTAAGAACGAGTCCTAAGTTATCAGAATCTGTTACAGGAGTTAAAATCTTTCTTTCATCTAGAGATTCGCTAGATGAAATAAAATAAAATTTTATATTAATCAAAACACTTATTTGTAAAAATAAATATTAAATACATAAAGGATTTTTAAAATAATGTTTTACCTGTGTTCACTCTCAGTAGAACTCTTATTCGCAACAGCATTAGAATCATCGAGATCCAATTGCACTTCTGATATAGATGGAGATGAAGAATGTTTTGTTAAAACAGAAGAATTATTAAAAAAACCGCGCTCATTAATACTGTTACTAACATCAGAAGACTCCCCTTGTTCTTCACTATCATTGTCAAAAGAAATAATATGAGTTGGTACTTTTTTTTGTATCTTTCCTTGTCTTACATTCAGAGTGCCTTTAAAATATATGAATTGTTAATGTTAGTTGGCTCTTAAGAAGAAGTAATATTTGTGTCCTTCTATTTTGTAATAACCAAATCAAAAAGTATCTATCGAAACTCGTATTATTCTTATAAGAGAAAAAAAAAGAAAAAAAGCATAGATATAAAATAAAATATCAAAATTAAAAATATATATGTTAAAATTATTCTTTAGTAAGATAAACATTAAAAATAAATATAAGAAAGTAGAAAAACCTGGCATTATAGATATGATAAGTTCTGATTGTTCGCCGTTCAAGTTTTCAGAATTTTTTATTTTTAAGTTATTGTCCAATTCTTCGTTTTCTATTCTTATAGCAAATAAAATTGCGCTGAGTCCTAAAATAGAAAAATAATTATATATTATCGATTGTAATATTTTCATGTATGCTTTCGTGTGCTTAAAAATTACCTGCAGCTACATTCGGCAATGCCGCGCATTTCTCTTGATCCAATAAAAAAGCCCATTCTTCATAAAATGAAGATAACTTATCTGGATTTATAACGGTATGTAAGTTTCGTTCCAAAGAGCGCTCATTTAAAATGGCTCTTAGCCATGCTCTGCCACGGCCATAATCGGTGCGTACCTTTCTTAAAATGCTAAAACGTTCTTGTTCATGCCACGTTAATTGATCTTTTATACACGGCCAGAATGCTGCATCATTCGTATTCAAAGATTTAGCATTGCTACCAGATACCAAAGCGGAAACGTGTCTATGAAAAATAAATATTGTCTTAATTTCAAAACACACTATAAAAATTTTTATAAATAATAATATTTGTATAAATAAATAAAATAATTACTTTAAAGCAAAATTAACTTTTTCTATACAATTAGTGCGCAGTCCATGACTAAATATTGCTTCAAGTATGGAGCAGAGTTGAGCGACACATGCATCTGATTCTGTTGCTAATTCTGCACGACCTCCGAACCTAATATAACATTTTTTTGCAGCATCCAACAAGTCATCGAGTAATTTCTGTCTTTCTAAAGTATGATGACTGTTTTGATCATTATTTGTAACATTGTTTGTACCTGGTACCATAGCTGACATCATTTGTAAAGCCTAGAATTTAATTAATAAGAATGATTATATGATTATTAATAAAACAAACATTTTATAAGAGATATTAATTATGAAAATGTATGCCATCTAAAATTCTTATGCTAGCAAGAACAGTTACAATTTTTATTTGATATAATTTAATAAATGAATTTGATCAATATTAGATTTATAAAAAAAACATCTGTTTTGACTCACAATGAATGAGTCAAATTGCTATGATTTAACATGATATCACTACTTTTGATTACTTAAATGATACTTGGACATATACATATACCAGAAATTATAGATAATAATAAAAAATTGTGAAGTTCGAATAAAATCACTATCTATAGTAACAATCATAAAATGACGTAAAATGAATTGTCATTTTCACATGTTTGACCATGAAATGGTGATAAAATGTAATCCAGGAAATAATATAGAAAGTAATGATTTTATTAAACTTACCATAAAACCAGTAGAGATAATTGTCATTATTTGTTAAAAATAAATATTCGTCGAATTATTTGCACAAATATTTTTTCAAACACTATCTAATGATATTCAAGATTGACGAACATATACAAGTCATTTCAACATTTCCCATTATATTTAAATGGCGTTATGACAATTAATGAATTATTATTTTTTTTTTAAATTTAATACATTTTAATATTATTCCTTTTTATTTGTAATATTAAAATTCAAAAATAAATGTACAATATGTGCCACGATTATTAAGAAATACATAAATTAAACGCACATACGCACTAACAAAACTATGTAAAGAAACAGCTGATCTAATTTTTTCTTTTATTTTTTGTGACATATAATTGCATATACAATGCACGCGTACGCGCTTGCGTACAAACGCAGCAAGATGAATAACAACATCTGGTGGTAAAATAAAAAAGTAAAAGTGCTGTAGACGACCAATAAAGAAATTATTACAATAGCGCGCGTATATTTTTAGTTTAAAAATGTAATTCTTTTAATTAATAAAATTTAATTATTCCAAAAGTGCAAAAAAGTCACTAAAAATTAATTTATTATAATTAAAACATATAACCAATTAGCAAACCTAAAACGAACATTTAAAAGTTTGTTATAAATAATACTTTACAGAGATGAATTAATACTTAGAAAAACTTTATAAAATGAGTGAAATAAAGTCTTCAAATGTGATTTTGCCAACAGTAGCTATTAAGTTTAAATATATATATTTAAAATGTAACAAAAATTGTACAAATGGAAAATGAAGACGCGCCATTTTTTGTAAGTTCCGCCATTAGCAGAACGCGAACGATTATCGAAAGGGTGGAAAGTCGATTGGTCAGTTGCCCAACCAATAACAAATAAAAAATGTAGCAGACGAAAAGAATATGTGGCGTCTCGCATGTAGCGGTACGACCGAAGGTCGCGCCCTCTAAAGTTACTAGAAGGCTAGGGAACCACGCTAACAAGTAGTGGTCACCAGACTAGTACAGTCTGTGCAGCGATCCCATTCGAACGATAATTATCGTACGCGTACGATAATTTGAGGTCCTGTACGATCCAAAAATCGTGGCGTACGATCCATTTGGAATTTCGAAAACTTGATGAACTTTTTTTCTTTTTTTTTTTTAGTCAACAAATTTTCCAAAGGTGCACCCCCACCCCAACCCTCACTCCCACCACCACTTCCACCACCACTTCCACCACCACTCCCACCACCACTCCCACCACCACTCCCACCACCACTCCCAGCACTCCCACACAAAGGGTCATCAAAAATTTTTTTCTCGACTTGAACACTTTCCCGTGCAGCTATCGAACCGCCGATTGAACTAAACGATTAATGAACGTTTTCTACCTAAAAGAAAAAAAAAAAAAGGTCATCAACTTGCAAAAGTTGGAACTTGGACACTTTTGTCGACTTTTTCAAAATTCTGTCCGAGATTTGTCGGATTTCAAATTTTCCCGGGACGTACGATAATTCTCTGCCGCGTACGATAATTTTGCGCCCCTGTGTCCATCAAACGAACTAAAGTCTCTGGGATCACTGAGTCTGTGCGTAGCCGTTGAGAAGTGTACAACTAAGAAAAGCAAGTCGCATCCGTTAAATAAAAATCATAAAATAAAAATTCAGTCTAATATTATCTTTACTCTAGAGAAACCCTCTACAGTAAATTGGTGCCGAAACCCGGGAACGTCCGCGTAAAAAAATAAAAAAATAATACAACAACTAAAATAGAAAAAATAATAAGTAGAAGAACAATGGCGCAACCAACCAGCGAAGCCGACGTGACCCGTGCCGACACAA